TACATATCAGGACTCACTGAACGGAAAAGAATAAACGGAGTGAAAGACTGCCAAAGTATATCATGTCGATCCACACTATCCTAAGCTTCCAGCAGTCTCAGAAGCTCTCTCATTTGCGATGGGCAGAGGAGTCACCCAGTGAACAGTTCCACAATAAAAGACCACACCATGTTTGATGGAAAGTTTTGCCTGACTACTATCGCTGTTGTTCCAAAGTTCTACATTCTACAAGTTCTACAAAACAATAGAACCATCCCCTTCTTCGCGCCGTTTTCGGTGCGTGGAGAGAGCCCCAAAGTTCAGGATGCAAAGCCTTAAAAACTCCATCAGATGGGATCACTTTGCTTCATTGCGAGTTCGGGAAAATTCCGTTTGCAATAACATCGATGAAAATACAACCTGCTTGTTAAAGATCTTCACGGTAGTGCTAGGAGCGCAGAAAGTCTGCAAGTAACCAAAGGGCGTCTTTTTCCGAATACTCGCGAGCATATACATACATGCATACGCCAGCGAGGAATCACGCGAACTACAGGCAACCATCAACAAACGTCCAAACTTGCTGTGCAGAGAAGCGATAAAGGAAGATCCGAAAAAGAGAAGAGCAGCAGTTTGCACGAAGCCTCCGAGGCCGAAAAAGGCATCCGCAAAGTTCGCTGGTGAATCGCCATTTACGAGACCATGACAGCTTCATTTCGTTGTCCTGACGGAACAGCTGCTGCATCTCGAAGGGCCATGGAGAACGTCATCTACAACTTATGATCGGATCTCTTCGACAGCTACGCATACCCAGCTCTTTGTCTACCTATCCCGATCTTGATTAAACCAGAACCTCTAAAGGGTCTTCCATCAGTAGTCGCCAGATTTCTGGTTATGCATCTCACGCAGTATCTGTCGGAGTGCAAAGCGCTCACTCAACATTGGAAATCCGGCAATATTGCATTGCTGTGGAAGATGGGGACTAGACGATATTGTCGTCTGACGCCCAATCCGTCCGCTGTCTGTGGCCTACAAACTATTAACTCGCGTCATCCGCAGCAGGATTGACAGCGCACTAGATGAAGGACAAGCGTTCCTTGGCAGAGGATTCAGTGCATCGATATCCTTTTCTCATAAGACTCAGTGAAGTATCGCGAGATTACAGGATGTCGTTATTTCTTATTACAGGATGCTGAAATTCATCGATCTGAAGGAGATAAGTAAAAGTACGAAAGAGGAAGGGTAGAATAGCAAAACTTTTATTATCAGCACTGCCGGAAAGGATTCATAGGACTAGAGGAGTTGTACTGTGCCGAAGAACAAGCTATTCTTGTAATAATGCAGCTTGCAAAACTGTGAACTGCTCAACATGAAGGCTTTTTTCACCTTAAACCTTTTAAGAATCGCTCAAACCTATCAGGTAAGTTATCAAGATTTCGTTCAATAATGGCTAATTGGAGACTGAACCCCTATTAGTGGAGACTTTCAACGCCAACATCCAAGCAACAGTGCAAAGAACATAAAGCAGGGTGATACCAAAGTTTTGGTTGCCATCACAAAGGGTCGAAATAATTTCGTAAGCACTTTACTGTTTACTCACCCAGTCTAGAATAATAAACTCACACTGCGTCGAAGGAATACGATTAGAAATGCGTGATCAACATACCCTCGTAAGTATGTGCTGCCAGCATTTTCAACTAGCCCCTATGTGTTCCTTACCGTTTTACAGCGATCCTTAATTGAGGCAGAGCAGCACTTTGCGGTCAGGTCTTTTCCTTGGCCTTTCCTACTTTCCTCTACTTTGTTTCCGTTCTTTGGTCAAACACCTCTGATCGCTTCCTTTCCCATTTCAAAATATAAAAGAGACTGAGTAGTGTGTAGCCGTCTTTCTGACCTTGGTAGAAAACATTTGTTCAGCTTCTATTTGGGATGAACATCTAGGTATTTGCCTAAAAGAGAAGCACGAACAGTATTATTATGCTCGAGATGTTTGATAGGCTGAGTAACAGAAGTGCATCATTCGACAATCGATTATCGTAATTTAAATAATCAAATGTGAGAATAATTTTGGAAGAAATTCTAAATTTAAATATTGTTTCGATATATTGAGATATTTAATGGCGTTGAAGGGAGGGGCTACCGCCACACTATGAAGTTCGCAGTGGTAGTGCTTCACTCCTTCTCCTTCGGTGGACGAGTAGGCTACGCTCAGACCATTGGCTCTCTGTGCTACTGAAAGTACCTCTCGGTACACCATATTCAATTAGTCGATGTCATAAGCAACACTGTCCGCAGCTGTGCTTCTGCCAAAGAAAAAAGCAGCGAGAGCTTAGGTAGCAGCGATTCCGCTTGCACTAATGATGAGATCAAGTCTCGCCCATGGAGATCTTATATTAAATGTTTTTCGTTTGATCGACTCCTATCAGAGACTTCTCATCCGAATACTCGTGCTTTTACCTTTCTTTTACAATTTATTAAAATTATCGACGATGTTGGCAATCAACATAGTTGTTGTTTGCTTTATCAAATTCATGGTTGGCCTCTCCTGGAATGATAACGGAAGCAGTGCAGAGGCTTCAGAAGCAACCCCTTCAGAGCGAAAAAATTAAACCGATGGCCTGAAGAATACACTGATAAAACTGAGTTGAGGGCACTGTTGTGAAATTTGAAACTACCATTGCTTTTTTTACCCCTTATTGATTACTGGTCTGCAATCTTTATGAAATTCCAAGATGCTTCAAAGAAAGTGTCGAGTTTCAATGATTCCATTGAATGTCACTGTCTGAAGATAAGAGATGCACTCACTCTCTGTCGGGGCGATTCTCTTTCCACTGGCTATTTTTTCAGAAGCAGGTGATGAAACGTTATCAGAGCGTTGAGTTCCTGTAGCCTTTTCACTTGTCGCAGTCGAGCTCCTTCCTGAAATATCATTGTTCATTTTTCAGGATAGATTATAAATTATGCTCGTGACTGATGTAACTTTTCATTCTGGGGCTGCATCAAAGTCATTGTGTTCCTTATTGAGCCCTGTGGCAGGGCGTTTCTCCATCCTTTGCTTCACTTCTTCCTCCAGACACTAAAGAGTCAACAGCCGTAGCTTCCTTCCCATTAATTAGCTTCTTTCATCGCATATAGTCATTACTTGTTTCAACTAGGACTCATACTCGACTGTTTTTCTCTTCAGAAATTCCGCCCGATCGAGATGCGCCTTGGTCTCGTCCTTTCACTCGTCTCTGCCTTCCAAATATTTCAGCAATCAGTGGTGAATGAATTGCACGACGTTGATCGCAAAAGCTACTCCTTCTCACTCGCCAGTGCGGCATTTCCTCTCGGTAAAATCACATTTATTGATTATGACTTTTAACTTTTTGAAAAGGTTTTCCTTTTTTCGTCAAGCTCAGCGGGAATTAGGTTTTGATCTTGCAATGCTTTTAAGTCACAAAAAGACCTGGAATTTTTGTGTTTGCTGTTCGACATGTGGTGATATTTGCTTGAATATCACTTGAAGCCACCGGGGTGGTCGCTCTAAGACTTATCGGGGAGCCAGGCCCAGATTCATCTACCAGGTTAAACTCTCAAAACTCTTACATCAAAAAAAATCATCGGGATAAGTTGCAATCATTTAGCGATCATTGCTGCATTAATCTGCACGATTTCTTCTATTGTCATAATCCTTTTACAAAAGGGGCCTTATCATGGGCTCATCAGCCCGTGTATGTGCTGTCAGAGTTCAAATCAATGAAATGGCTAAAGATAAAGAGAGATTTAATGTAATAATGAGAACGTATTGACGATGGTGAGAACATCAGGATAAATCTTAAAGGCACGGTTCACGATAAAATAGGTTACTGAGGCCTTTCTTTAGGAATACTCAGCGCCTCCCATGGGTGATAGAAGGGATCCTCTCGCTCCCACAATCTCGGCGTTTAGGGCATAGTGGAAGCCCCGCTGCTGCCGTAGTTCGCTTTCCCGCCCCTCGATCGGTGTCACGTTAGACGAGTGTCGAGACAATACAGATTGCTATTATTCGTTCTAGGACCCACGCACAATCAGCTAATCGTCGAGTGATAAGGCGATGTTTTTCTCCCATTCTTTTTTCCTCTGTTTTTCTTTTTGCTGCGGCGATCCCTTATTTAATTTCCTTTTCCTAGAGGCTGGAAAAGGTGAGCTACTTTTACTATTACTACGGCTTTTTTGTTTATTTATGCTTGTAAGTGAATGAATTTTTTCTTACCATTGTCTGTTATTCGCACCAGGACCCACACGCGCGCAGTGAAACACACTGTTTAGCTCGTCCAAACGCCCCACTATTCTTCATTTTCCTGGTTTCATTCTCGTCCAGCCCCTTTTTAATGGTTTTTGGATGCCTTTTTTTCACTTTGGAAACACCGATGCATGCAGTTTCTTCACCTCCGTCGCACAAGTTTCGATCTTGTCTTCCATTTTTCATCATAATCTGGATTACCCAAATTTATGGTGAACTGTGCCTTTAAATATGTTCCTCATTCATGATAATATTTTGAGCAAATAATGGCCTTTTTGTGACACTCTCTTTGTCCATCAGTACTTGAAAATCCTTCAGCATCCATACCATGTAATGAGTAGCGTTACCAAACGAGTCGCGTTAATTATTTATTTTTCCCGAAATACTTGCAGTAGTGTGTAAACAAACCTACAGTGGCGTGCATGAAGAAAACCGTCACTGCTTGCATTTCTTCTCCTTTTTTACAAGATTTTCTGATGGAGGCACTTATGTATGTATGTTCTACAAAATCATGATCCTGGAAGCCTCGTGACATATTTGATTCAAGGGTTTTATACTAGGTGCTTAGGATTATTTGAGTTCCAAATTTTTTTCTTTTATTTCTCTTAAAAAAATATAAATATTAAAAATAATTGATTTTTATTAATCCCTCTGTTCATTCTAGTTCGTGGGGTATTAACATTGTTTATGTCTCATTTTCTCTTCCATTTGTTTTCGTCAACCCTTTTCCACTGATGAGCCTTGGGGTTGGCGAAAACGAATGGTTCGGGTGAGTGAGTGGAGGCGGAGCAAAGCATAAAGTAAGTTTTTGATGTTTTTTATTTATACCTCCTCTTTTTTCTTTTATTACTCATCTTTTCTAATTTGACATTCAGGCCAGTTCGTCTCAACGCTCTTCCTCGCGTGTAATCCGATCCCGGCTAAACAGGGACTGGTTACGGATGCATGGCTGCTCATTATTGGCTCAGTTGTGGCTGCCTTTCCCAGGTAGCTTTGTTTTTCTGATAAAAAATTTGATTAGTTGAAGTGACAGAATATATGCAGATGCTATGTTAATATAAAATTCAAGCGGGAACATACCCAAGAGTTTCAACTTCGAGATTTGCTAATAGCAGGCAATTTTATCTCACAATCAGAACTTGATCGAGCTCCATAGAATAGCATGTGCTTGGTGCGATCCCACTAAGTAAATTCATGGAATGCGGATACATTCGTCGTCATCTGGGCATCTGGGCAGTTTTCCTTGGTGCTCCTCTGAATTCTGGTTCTGGAGGGAACTCGCTGGATTAGACCCTTTTATTTTTAAATTTTTTCTTTATTACTCAGGTAACTCGGCTGCAACCAATCTCAATATCTTCAATTGTAATCACTGTGTTATCCCAAGAGACCGCTTTTATTAAGCCATCCGCCAAACACCTAAGTGGCGAATGCTTCCATCCTTATCCGCCACTCGATGCTTGACATCATGAAAAAAAAATGTGGATAATTTAAAAATGTGGAAAAAACCGGGAACCACCCAATTTTTCATTCTGTTTTGACGCACTCTTGTAGTACTTCTCGACTTTGCAGTTGGGCGCTGTTGTGTGCTGGCCGATTTCTGATCGGTTGTGGAGCTGGTCTCGGGTTCGTCTGTTCAACGATAGTTCTCTACGACTTGGTGCCATATTCATCTCGCCCAGCTCACTTTCTTGCTCTGGGAATTTCATTCGCCTTCGCCACCCTAATGATCAACTGCGCTCCCCTAGTCAACTTCTCAGATACTGTTACAGTACTGTTTGCAGCAGTAGTGAGTGCAGCATCAGGTGAGTAAATATGGTGTCCGACAGTGCAAACTTGAATGTTACAAAAACTTTCACAGGAATCGCATATCTATTCCTGCAGCCAGAACCCAATGCTGAGAAAATAGCAGATTCACCGTTGGAAGGAGCCAAAGAAATCCCTTCAAAGTTCCCTTCAACACTGATCTACGTTCTAATGACACTGAATGTGGTTCGTTTTCAACTCATTGACATGATTTCGACTATTGAGGGACAGTTCAGTGACATGGGGCATGGGGCGACTATCACCTGCATCACTTAGTGCCCCATCGGACATCGATTTCCTTTTGTGAGATCCATTGGCGTCTCAATCGTCCCTGTCGCGAACCAGAGTGATTCTGTGGATCGGCCTCGTTTGAAGGGCATAAAGCATAGCATTCCTTTGGTTCGGTTTTGTGAAGTAATCCAACCATCCCTCTGGCGTCCGCTGTGGGGATCTCGTCAGTGGTAGCCGTGCTGTAGATGACTCCACCCGCTGAATGCATTTAGTGAGAGAGGAAACTGAATTGCCAGCGAACGCTAAGCACTGAATTGGTGACAGCGGCAGGTTTCTGGAGGATTCCTACCACTTAGCCTACAACTTATGGCTCCTCATAATGACTTCTTATCTCTTTTTCGATCTAAGATCCAACCATTTCTGATCTAGTCTTGTTCTGAGATCTTATTAGTCTTACTTATTATCTCGATTTTGCAGAGCATTGGTGTACCGGCAATCCTGGCATTTTCGAAAGGTGTGTTTGAGAAGTAAGTGATCTCAAAGTTTCTGCCAGACACTGACTCGGTTATGACATTCTTGCTATAATCTTTACCTGAAATTTAAACAAGAACTGTGGTTGCTTACAGCTTTGGTCTTGATCCAATCACATCGGCCAGGCTTTCAGTCGCTTTTCCTGTCGTTCAGATCGTGGCAATCCTTATTCTTCACAAATCACTTTTGGACAGGTGGTTTTTATGACCTTTTGATAATTTTATCGGTTTCCTAAGAGAATTCATTAATATATCCCAATATTCTTCAGGAAGATCCTGATCGTTGGTGGATATATTGTTGCTGTAATGATTCAGGCGATGCTTCTTTTAACGTCGTACTATCCTCTCTTACAGCCCGAGGTATGAAAACCAGATTATTTCGAAAGTCGTTTCGAGGTAGTAAGTGCGATGTCAGGATCAGTTAGGAATGTAAGCACGGCTTTGGTGGAGGTGCTCAGGAGCAAAGGGAGGAGAATGCGCTCTTGGTCTAGCGGTCGGTGCGCATTCAGAATACGTCCGAATTGCAATTTCAGTAATGAGTAATAGGTACTTGTTCAAGAACTACCCCTACTTCTTGAAATTAAATCAAGAAATTGCCATTATTAAACCCTCGAGGGTATTTGGCTCACTTCATACTTACTGAAGTTGTAGCAAGCTGTTCAAAGCTTCTTGGACCTGAAATTTCTCGAATGGCGGCATAATAATTATGTCGGCTCGAAA